CTAGCATGGTGCGGCGGCAGTGCGCGCCGACATGGGCGAGAAGCTGGAGCTGAGGCTCAAGTCGCCCGTGGGGGCCGAGCCCGCCGTCTACCCGTGGCCGCTGCCCGTCTACGTGAGTACCCCCCGGCCCCGGCCCCGGCCCCGCGGCGCGCGCTCGCCGGGCCCACCCCAGAAACGGAGCCACTTCCAGAAAAAACGCGCTTGAGATCCTCCTGGAGCCCCAACAGGGGACCGTGCGGCCGTTTCCCAGCTCCCCGGGCGCGGAGGCGGGGACGGGGACCCCGCGCTCCCTCCGAGGGGCGCCCCGAGCTCCCGGCTGCCGTTGCCGGAGCGGGGTCGGTAACCCCCAGGGCACCCGCGGCCGGGCCGGCCCCCCGGGTTTTCGGTCTTCTCCTTTTTGACATTAAGTTTTCTCGGCCGTTTATTTTTGCGCTGTCAAGATCCTCAGTTTTTCCTTTTTCTTAGATGTAATTCATTTTTATTAGAGTCCAGTCACGGATCAGTCATTACTTGAGTGTCCAAAACGTGCCAGGTACCATTCTCCACCGTGAAGTTAGGTATTGAACGGGACTCAGCTTAGTTTTATTTTGTTTTGAGGATACCCTTTCCCGTCCCCTTCCCTCTTTTTTTTTTTTTTTTTAAATTAGGAATTTTCTTCTCTGTAGTCGCGAGGACTGGCCTGACCCTGGGAAATGCCAGGGCGCTGGGTGGCCGAGTGGAAATTTACAAAGGCGCGCTCTGGCCGATTCCAGAAACCCACGCGCGTGGCACTGTCACGGCCCCCGGGTGGGACGTTTGTGTGTGGCCGTTTCTCCTGGGCGCCCGACGGGTGCTGAGCAACGAGCATGTGGAGTAGAAAGTGACGCCAGCACGGTTGGCGGGCGTCTTTCGAGCTGTCCTTTTGCACGCCCGGATTTTCAGGGGGGGACGGGGCCCGCCCGGCACCCGCAGGGGGAAACCCGCACGCTCTGGACGCGCGCGCAGGTGGAGCGTCATTTTGGAAACGTCTGGGCGGGGGCGGGGCGGGAGCCGGCGTTGGCGTCTGGCGCCGCCGGGTTCTTTGAGAGTTGGAAGGTTCGGTGAGGCACGACTGCGGTTTCCAGCCGGGCCTGCGCGCGCCGGCGCTGGCTATTTTTGCTCATCCTGCGCCCGGAGGCGAGGTTGAGCCCTGGGGCTCTCGCTTTTCCAGTCGGGCAGCTCAGGGTGTGACCTGGGCGGGAGAACGGCCAAGGCGAGCGAAACTGAAAGTCTGGGAGAAACGAAAGGGCTTTTTTACCGGTTTCCACGTTCAAAATCTAACCGTTCCGCTGGTCTCCACCTCTCTTCTCCTTTCTGGTAGCACTCATCATCTTAGGCTCAGCGGTTGTCTGGATCATTATGATTTTTTAAATTTTGGCTGAAAGTATACACGTGGCAGTACATACATCTATTCAGGTTTTACATGTACAGTTCACTGTCAGTGGTTACAAGCTTCACATTGTGTCACTATTCTCCTCGTTTCTGCCCGTAATTTTTCACCATCCTTCACCTAGGCTCTCTGCCTCTGAAAGTTCTTGTCTGTGTTTTAGAGTTACTGTTGTCAGTTCAAGCTCGTATGGATAATTGTTTAAAAGAGCACAGTGCTGAAGGTGAACGTTATTAAGTGAGCTGAATTGTTTAGTTTAAAGATGACTTCATGGGATAGTTGCATTTCAAGGCTTAAAAGCTGTTTCCAGGCGGTAGATTCAGGAGTTCCTCTGGTCTCAACGTTTCCAGTATCCTGGTTTCCAATAAGAATTTGAAGTTCTGTTCCACGTTTTTTCCCTCTTTTTAATCAAGATCCAACTGTTGACTCCTTGTTGATCATTACATCTTTTAGTTTTCATTTTTTTTTTAGCGGACACAGTACAATTGGTCTTTTTGATGTGCATTTCCGTAATTCTTGACAGCTGCATAGTGTTGTGTGACCACCACCACCACCACCATCAAGGTATGGAGCAGTTCCATCATCCCTCAAAATCCCCTTCTGCTACCTCTTAGTAGTCCACCCTTCTCATAACCCCTGGCAACCACTGATCTGTTCTCTGTCCCTATGTTGTCGGTTGCCATGGAGTCAATTCCAGCTCATGACAACCCCATGTGTGTGGAATAAAACTGCTCCAGTGGGTTTTCAAGGCTGTAAACTTTCAGAAGCAGATCTCCAGGCCTGTCTGCTGAGTCACCTCTGGGTGCGTTTGAAACGCCAACCTTTTGGTTAGTGGGTCAGCATTTAACCATTTGTAGCAACCTCTGTCCCATAGTTTTGCCTTTTTCAGAAAGTCAGGTAAATGGAATCACACAGTTTGTTGCTTTTTGATTCTGGCTTCTTTCGCTGGGCACAATGTATGTGAGATTCATTCATGTGGCTGTTCCATGTATCAGAATGTTCCTTTTTATACCATACGTACCATGGTTTGGTTATATCTGCCCGCATGTTGCAGACATGTGGGATGTTTTCAGTTTTTGGTGATTATGGGTAAAGCCACCTTAACCATATGCGTGCCATTTTTACATGAACTGAAGTTTTCATTTCACTTGGGAGAACACTCAATTTTCAATTGCTGAGGCTATGGTAAGTGTAGGTTCCGGGTGGTGCAAATGGTTGCTCTCAGCTGCTACAGAAAGGTTGGCGGTTCAGACCTAGCCGGAGATGCCGTGGAAGAAAGGCCTGGTGATCTGCCTTTGTAACGATTACGGCCAAGAGAACCCCATAGGGCACAGCTGTACTCTGTAACACACGGGTTGCCGTGAGTCTAAACAGACTGGATGGCAATGAGCTGGGTTTAGATTGGTGGTGGTAAGTGTATGTTGAACGTTTTTACATTTTTAAAAAATGCTATTTCGTGGTACTTAAATCTTTCATTGTATACTACAAACCGATATCCAGGCATCAGATCACTTGGTCTTGCTGAGCTGCCTCCCGCTCCCCCTGACACTGAAAGAAAGTTCCTCTGGAGACAGTCCCCTTGTATCTGGCTGGGTGTTGGAGACCACGTGCCTTTCATGCGGGGAGGAGAAAGGAGAGGTGGTTTGTAAGCTGACCTGGTGCTAGCTTCATCTGGCTCCCCGGTGTAAATGAGGCCTTCTGTTCCTCACTGGCGTGGGCCAGCTTTCTAATGTGTGGCGGTCCTGTGCCGCGGAGTGCCTTTCCCTCCCTGGCTGGGACCTCACTTGGCAGGGGCGGGCGTGTGCTGCCCTCCTGGCCCCAGTTCTCCGCTTGACGTCAGCAGGCCCTGTGCTAGTCCACCCTCCCCCGGCTTTGGGTTTCTAGCGCTCAGTCAGGCTCAGCGCGGCCAGACTCCCCCTCCCGCCAGTGGGGCTCTTGGCTGGGTGGTGCACAGCCGCCTCCGGACAACGTCACAGTGGCGCCTTTTACTTCTTGCTGCTCTCATTGAGGAATTTTGCCTTCTCGCGGGAAACGAGGCAGCGGGACTCTATCGATAAATTCCTATTTTGTTACGATTCGGTGACGATCCCATTAAGGGAGCATGCCGTTTGGGAAGCTGAGTGCTGGAAAGGTCACATTGCTGAGCTGACCACACGTTTGATTCATTCCACAAGCACTTGCTGAACTTGTATAGTGTTCCTGGTGGGGAAGGGATGATAGGAAACTTATCCTCAAGAAACTTATAAAACGAAGGTGGGTCGATTATCTGTCTTTAGGAGCCCTGGTGGTGCAACAGTTAAGTGCTTGGCTGCTAACTGAAAGTCGATGGTTCGAACCCACACAGTGACTCCACAGGAGAAAGAGCTGGTGATCTGCTTCTGTAAAGATTACAGCCTAGACATAATGTAGTTAATAAAAAAAATGTTCTACATTCTACTTTGGTGAGTAGCATCTGGGGTCTTAAAAGCTTGTTAGCAGCCATCTGAGATACTCCACTGGTCTCACCCCATTGGGAGCGAGGGAGAATGAAGAAAACTAAAGACACAGGGGAAAGATTAGTCCAAAGGACTAATGGACCACAACTACCACGGCCTCCACCAGACTGAGTCCAGCACAACTAGATGGTGCCCGGCTACCACCACTGACTGCTCCGACAGGGATCACAATCGAGGGTCCCAGACAGAGGTGAGAAAAATGTAGAACAAAATTCTAATTCACAAAAAAAGACCAGACTTACTGGCCTGACAGAGACTGGAGAAACCCCGAGAGTATGGGCCCCGGACACCCTTTTAGCTCAGTAATGAAGTCACTCCCAAGGTTCACCCTTCAGCGAAAGATTAGACAGGCCCATAAAACAAAACGAGACTAAAGGGGCACAACAGCTCAAGGGCAAGGGCTAGAAGGCAGTAGGGGACAGGAAAACTGGTAATAGGGAACCCAGGGTCGAGAAGGGAGAGTGTTGACACGTGGGGTTGGTAACCAGTGTCACAAAACAGTATGTGTACTGTTTAATGAGAAGTTAGGTTGTTCTGTAAATCTTCATTTAAAGTACAATGATGAAAAAAAGAAAATTACAGTCTAGAAAACCCTAAGAGGCAGTTCTAATCTGTCACATGGGGTCGTTATCAGTCGCAGTTGACTCAACAGCACCTAACAACAACAAAACCAAAAGTGTGACCCTATAGGGCAGGGTAGACTGTTCCAAGAGTTTCCAAGGACCAGCTGGTAGATTCGAACTGCCGACCTTTTGGTTAGCAGTCGAATGCTTAACCACTGTGCCACCAGGGCTCCATCAACAACGACAGGTTATCTATAAACAAAAATTTCAATAGAGTTATATTGTTAGCTGCTGTGATACTGGCCCCCGACTCACGGCAACCCCAGGCACAGTGGAATGAAACTCTGCCTGGTCCTGCAGTGTCCCCATGATCAGTTGCGGATCAGACCGTTGTGATCCACAGGGTTTTCACTGGCTGATTTTTGGAAGTTGGTCACCAGGCCTTTCTTCCTAACTGTCTTACTCTCGAAGCTCTGCTGAAACCTGTTCAGCATCGCAACAGCATGCAAGCCTCCGCTGATGGTGGCTGCACAGTAGTTTACATTGGCTGGGAAGGGAACCCGGGCCTTGCGCATGGAAGGGGACAGTTCTCCCACTGAAGCACCACTGGGCCCTTAGTAGAGTTACAGTGCCATGTGTATAGGGTCAG